CCCCCCCCCCCCCCCCCCCCCCCCCCTCCCCGACGATTCCCGTGTAATTTAATCAAAACAATTCCCGCGAGAGGTGGAGGGGCATCAGCCAAGTTTTCTAAAAATACCTTCGTACAGTATTATCTCTTCGACAAGCAAGTCCGCACCCGCCTTTCGATTCGCCCACCACACACCGGGAAACATGCACCTGCACCCCACCTTTGGGGAGGGATAAACCGCCGGACAGCAGCCCACCAACAAACGATCATTCAAAGGGCAGCCATTGCGAAAAGCTACGCACATAACTTAAATATCAGGCTTATACTGGTACTGTATTGCTAAGCGGCGGCGGAATCAGTGGCCTCTACACACCTTCTTCGGCGGGCAAAATACTGCCCACGGGTACACGACGGAAAAACAGCGGATCGCGCACGTACGAAAGCACAGCAGCCCGCCGACGAACCTACCCAGCCCCGACAAAGAACTTGCGAGCTGTCAAGACTCTGCTACAACGCTTGACGTCGCAATGTCCGGCCCCAAGCGAACAAAACTGTTAAAATTCTTCATCCTTTTGTCTGAGCGAGGAACCACTACACCGTCGACGCAACCCCCCCCCCCCCCCCCCCCCCCCCCCCCCCCCCCCCCCCCCCCCCCCCCCCCCNCCCCCCCACCTAGGTGCCCCCCCCCTTCGCGCGATGCAAACCCGCACCGAAGGATTTTGCGAAACCTCTGGCGGTACCGTCCATGCGAGCGTTCAACAGCTCCAGCTGGGTGACAGACCGCGAAAGCGATAAACGGCTGTCACCCAGAGCTCGGGCGTTGGTTCTCAAGAGGGAGTTGCAAACACGAGCCGCGTCCTGGTTCGAAGGGGAGGACGGGAGATGGGAACAGCGGCGAGGGGTCAAATTGCAGGACAAGGAAAACAATCACGTCAAAGTCAAACCATCAAAAGCACCGAGGTAATTTGTAGCCAGTAGCCAAACCGAATCGTGCGGGGCCCCAGGGTGGTCGTAACATTTCGTAAGTCGGCTGATGATGCTAGGTCAAGCGGCCTTTGGACGTCAACGAAGCAAGATAAAAATAGGGGACATAATCGCCGTCTCACTCCACCGTACCCCTCCGAGAAAGGAGCATCACAAACAGTCGTGGCTAGCCGTACCTCCAACGGCTTGCTGGCCGTCAAGGGCAAGCTCCGGAGCGCTCGCCCCATCTCGTCCGCGCTCCTGGCAGCGTACACCCGGAAGGGCTCGCTGATTTTGCTGTTTTCCGCGAGCCTGCTTGCCTTCCTCTCCAACCCCTGGGAGAACGGCGGGATTTGTGGCGGGGGGGTGGGGTTCCCCCCGCCCGTGCCCCCCCGTGGGCTTGCAGAGCTCGGTGGCGAACCCCCCCCCGCCGCTTGGGTCGTCGTCGAAACCAACTTTTCAGCGTCCCCTTCCGCCGGGATCCCTCCTCCTTCTCCTCCTCCTCCTCCTCTGGCGCCAGAAGACTCGTCCGCGCCTGTGCCCCCCTCCTCTGAGCTGCCATTTGCCGATGCCCCTACAGCGTCGGGAGCAGCGGCCCGGAAGGGAGGACATTCCTCGGCAGCGACGGAGCACTTTGCTGCACCGACCTCGGGGACGCCCCGCCCGTTTTCGGAGGAACGCCCGCGAGACAACATCGCCCCGTCCAGGGCGGCGAAGCCGCCCTGCAGCACGCACACGCGGGGTGTCAGGCACGAGCGAGACGCCTCGCGCGCGAGCCGGAACTCGGGGGCTGCCGCCTCAGCCGCAGCTGTCGCAAAGGAGGTAAAGCGTCCGCCGCCGTCGCCGCCGCTGCCCCCACGCCCACCGCAACCAATGAAGCACACGTGAGTAGTAGAAGTCCCGACAGGGTGTTTCACCTCGCCGATCCTGATGCCTCCCCCGCTCACGGCATGGCCGCAAATGCGCGTCGGGTGGACCAGCCCGTTCCCTGCGGCACCGCCGCCAACATTCCCGTAGGGAGCGGCGACGACGCTGCTACTACCGGAGACGACGGACATTCCTACGATGTCGTGGGCGGGAGCCGCCCCTTCAACCGCCTCCTTGTGGCAAGGAGCGCCGCTTCTCTCGCCGTGTAGCGCGTCTTCTCCAGCCTCTACCTCCCGGAGGACCTCAGCGACCGCGACCGCCTCCCTGCCGAAGCTCTCCGCCGGGTGTACACGGCGCCAGATTACGCGACCGTCGCCCGCGGGCTCCCCGCCAGCGCGCATGCCGCCGCCTGCGGGGCCTTCACTCTCCGGCGCCGGGGGCCGACAGTCGACAAGGACAAACGTTCCGCCGAATTTACGCGACCCCGAACGCCAGCCATCGTCCCCGGTTGCCGGCGACGTGGGAGCGGCGGCGGCGGGGACGGCTGTTGACGACGGGCCTGCGAGGAGGATCTCGGCTACTTGGTCGGCGTCCACGGAGAGAACCTCCTCCGCCCTCAACCCTTGCAGCAAAGAAACCCTCGGCTCCGCCGCCGGTCCCCCTGCGGGGGGTCCTGATTGCTGCCTCCCTCCGGCGGGCGCCCCCGGTCCCTCGCACGAACCACCGCCATCGCCCTCCCGGTCTTCGGCAAAGCACGCCCTCCTCAGCACGTCGCAGAACAGGCGCGGCGTCGACTCCCTCAGCGCCACGGCGGCGCGGAAGACGTCGTCCACAACCCCGGCGGACCGCAGCCGCAGCCCGGAGACCGTCGCCGGCATGTCGTCAGGCGGGGTCTCCATGAGGACGAGGCGATTGCTCACGAGCCACGCCAGCGACAAGAACTGGTGCAGCACGGGGTCGCCGTACTCCAGCATGAGTCGCCACAGGTGGAGGAGGGCGGGGGCTGGCGTCTGGCTCGCGAAGAGGGTGACAAACCTAGCGGGGTTACGGGTGCGCGACGCGACAAATTAAGAAAGGGGCGGTGCTGTCATCGCCCAAGGCGAGGCGGAAGCGTGTCTAAGCTCAAGGGGGGCAGCGTGAGAGAAACAAACGACCGTGATCCCTACCATGTAACATTGCCCCGGTCTCCGTTGCTTCCAATGAAAAAGCGTCAGGCAATTGCTTCACGTACAGCCTTGCCTTGCCTGACCCCAGCTTTCGCGAACCAAGGTATCAAGCCATCGTATCCCGTGTTTTCACGGGGAGGCACAACATGACAAAATAAAATTCCATCTGCTGGCCGAACACACAAACCCACCTCGTGCAACAAGTGAGATTTGTCAAGCGGTGACCTGAGCTCTGCTCGTAGACCTCTCTAAGCACAAAAAAACAGAAGAAAACCTTAACCTAAGCAAGCATTCTTAAGTAAACGGCGCAACCACAGTTTTTCTACGATACTACGTCTAGTTTGTTCCGAAACCATTTTGTTATTTTTGAAGTATCCTTGAGCAATAAAATGTTGGAATAACACCCACCATGGGGTCGCGTAGGCAGCTGGCGACACAAAACACTTGTCCATGTGCGCCGCGAGAGCGGGGTCGTGGAACCGCAGGAGCTGCTCCAGTAGCACCAGGTGTGCCTCGAGGACCACAAGCGTGGTCCCGCCGCCGGTCTCTTCTTGAGCTGTCGAAAAAATGTTCGGCGCAAACCGGTCCACGAAAGAGCGGAAGCACCTGCTCCGGGGGGGGGTGGGGGGCACGCATATACGATTGGGGGGGGGGGGG